AGTCTTTATAGAAGAGAGCAATTATGTTAACCATCTTTTCTGTAATTCCGTATTGTCGTAATATTTTCCACAGACTGTCTCTATGGATGCTATCAAAAGCTTTCTCAAAATCCATAAAATTAATATTTATACTTCTCTGCCATTCATTGCATTGTTATAAAATGTAACTTAGAGTCAAGATGTGCTCAGCTGTTCCTCTGCCCTTTTCCACTCATAGGTATTTTACCTACTCCTTTTTCAAGCCATATTATGATGACTTTACAAAAATATTTGCTTGGTCCTGAAATTTCCCTCCAATTATTGCAGTCTGTTAAATCTCCTTTTTGGGGGGACTTGGACTATTGTTCCTTCAGTCCAGTCATCAGATAACACTTCTTTTTTTCCAAATATCCTTGAATAATGGTTCCAGAATGCTAGCATTTGTGTTGGGATCTACTTTGAGAAGTTCTGCTGGCAGTTCGTCTTTGCCTGATGCTTTGTTGAATAGCTACTATACGATCACTTTTACTGGTTTCTGACTATCATTTGTTCTTCTTCTTCTTTTTCTTCTTCATCTTAGCGTTTACCAGCTGTAAACGCCAGCGGAAAGTTCTGGAAGTTCCTCTTCACTTCTGGACTTTGGTCTTGTTCCGGAACTTGTTTTGCGTGCATATTCCAACTACAGATGTGGCTTAAATGTATACAGATTGTTGGTTCCTGTCTCTCTCCTGTCTCACTTCGATGGAAACAACCCCAATTAGTGACCTTTCATGACATGCGTGTTGGGTGCATTGGGTCTATTCTTGATTCCAACAAACTGGGCCTCCGAAATCCACAGGGGCAGCTTTATTTGTAAACAGACCAGATAAAGTAAAACAAAAGGCGACACAAAACCACACAGATGTTAACTATGCAGAATGCGCAGCACAAAGAATGCAGATTGACTCTGGCTAATGTGGGCAATTACACTTCTTCTTTCCTCTACTCCTGGAATGCCTCAAAGCGTTAGGACAAGAAGAGATCTCTAGAATGGGACTTTTTGTTCACTTCATATAAAGTCCTTTTCAGTGTCTCTGACATTTCTGCGATCCATATTCTGCGTGGTCAACCTCTGGCTCTGTTACCAATGTATCTGTATAACATTGCTCTCTTTGGTGCCCTGTCTGATGCCAATCATTAAAAAGTCATATGCCTAAGATGATAAGACGACCTTGATCTCTGGCTGCTACAGGGGGAAGTAGGAAAAAGAAAACATGGAAGCAGAAGTAGGGCCGAATCATTTTCAGGAACTGTTAACTACTGAATATTATTGTCTAGCACACACCACAATTACAGCTGAAAGTTCACGGTTTAGGGCAACGAGACTAATGCAGTCGCCACTAGCAGTCTTGCCATCTCATCTCATCTCAATCCTCTTGTACCCTGCGGTGTAGAAGTGAAGTATAATTTACAAGAAAGTGCCCGTGTGTGGGCTTCATAAATGGGGATTCCCAGGGACTCTGTTATTCCCTCTGCCCAAAATTTACATGGTCGGCCTCTGATTCGCTAGCCGGCTGGTCTCTACATAACTGCTTGTTGCAGTATATCACAGCCACTAGCGGTATAAGTTACGTTTTTATTTCTGTCTGAAAAGAAATAACGTTTCATCACCTTACTGAGGACCTGAACCCAAAGTTCTAGTTGCTCAACTAGTCACTCCAGCCTGACAGACAAGATAATCACCCTGATGCTTCCGTGGCCGACTTTCACAGTTTCATAACAGTTAGTGTATTCTCACTGCTTCCTGGCATACCCCTTCTTCCCCCCTCAATATTCCACGATTACATCAGAGCACAAAGGTCATGGGAATCCCACGGCTGGTGTTTCTGTCATCCTCATCATCTTGGGTCTTGCTAAATGCCCTTGGTGTTAACCTCTCTAAACACATCTTGGTGTTTAATGTTCTGGATGTGTTCTATTCTTGACATTCATCCATGCTACCATCCACAATAACTTTCTCTTGATCTTTCCCTGTACATTCTTCTACTAATCTCTCCAACGCCTCTCTTCTAATCATACAACTGCCTCTGTCTTATGGATGCAAATACTGTGCTACTTTCATGACATTCACATAGAAATATTCAATTAGACGATATCCATATAATGGACAGACCAGAGCAAGCCATCATTGTATGCCTTAGAACAGGACACAATCGTCTTTGCAGCCACATGTACACACAATTTAAGATTGACTGGTGAATCAGCCATGTGTACATGCGGATTAGCACCTATGACAACAGATCACGTCATCCAGGATTGTCCCACATACAACATATCAAGGCAAAACTTCTGGCCAAGATAAACACTGGTGCAAGCCAAACTGTACAGGTCGCTGACTGAATTACATCAGACAATGAAGTTTATACAAGAGTCAACATTGCAGACTCGTCGATAATCTATTTCAAGCGAATGAAAGAAGAAGAAGTCGAAGATTAGATTTATTAATAAGATCTTTCTAAGCTGGGACTCTGGCCTTTGGTTCAGAATAGCCCTGCCCTAAACCATCCTGCATCATTTTTCCTTATCAACCTTTGTCTCTTCTACCGTTCATTCAAATCAGTATAGCATCATATGTCCCATTCGTTTGTTCCTTCGTTGGTATCTCACAAGTGATGAGGACCACTCTTTCATTCATCCGTCATGAAACTGCTGTTGAATGTTTGTTAGTCCGGAGGCCTGTCTTCGCTGTTCAGCTTCTAGATGCCTCGCAGATGGTTGCACATTTTCAGATATATGTGCCGGTCTTGTGCCGCAGTCTCCCAGGTGTCAGGGTTTTTACTAAAGGCTTTCACTGTTGCCTTTAGGGTGTCCTTAAAGCGTGTGTTTTTTTCTGGCCACCATGAGAACGTCGACCTTCGTTTATCTCATTATATATATATATATATATATATATATATATATATATATATATATATATATATATATATATATATATATATATATATATATATATATATATATATATATACCCCATACACAACTGGTGAGAATAGGGCCCTTTTCTTGTTACTTTTTAAAACAATTATTATAATAAGTAATGAAAGATTACATTTCCATGAACCCAACAGTTCATTACGACAGAAGATTGCGGACAGACATGATTACCAGTGCCCTGAAACATGGACTTTAAGAAGAAAAATTTCAAACAACAATTCAATTAAAACAAGCTCATAAAATAATTAGCAGAGGCTGGCCGAGGGTTACAATGTTGGGCTCTCAGGCAGAAGACCTAAGGTGATGGACGTTTTTCTGTGGGAGGAGGGGTGGCAAAAATAAAACATCTTAGTCAGCACAGCCAGTGGTGATAGCACTAACCCTGCAGACTAAATCCTCAGCTTCATGACCCTCCCCCTGTCTCTACCACCCTAAAAAAAGTGGTAAATACAGAGATAAGTGACAGTTTCATTTACAGTTCGGTCAAGTAATTATACTATTTAGAAACATTAAAATAAAGAAAAAAATATTTATCCGATGGTGCGGTTTTATTAGCTGACGGGAAAGCCCATGCGCCTAAAAAAAATGACCCAGATATGAAAGAAATGCCAATTGATTGGTTGAACCATGTTATGTTATCACAATCGACGTCTGTGCACTCTGGACATTCCCATATGTGCTCAGTCCTCCGGTGCAGCAGCCACTCCAAGGTACTAACTGCTCCCATGAGGAGTTGGTTATAGCACCTCCTGTCTTTACCTCGAAGATGGCATAGTTGTGCTTCATCAAGCTTAACTCCTCATTCACGCAGTCATGTTAGCGTCAGAGATTTGACATCATCCTCCAACCTAGTCTGTATAGCTTTCATGATATCAGCTCTGTCCATGCTTCTTTCCATTTGCACTGGTGCATTATTTTTCATTACCATTTACCCCTGCTTGCCCAAGTGTGTAGATTCAGATGATGAAGGTTAACTGCGACTTCCGAATGCTCTCTACCCATTTGGAGTTTAGACTACCTGTAGTGATTTTCTGAATGGCACATTCAAAGAGTAAAATAATTACCGCATGAGTGGCCGCTTGTTCTGCTACCCCTGTGAATGTTCTGGAAGCAACAGTTATCTCCACATCATTCTTGTAGTTGTCTGATTTTACTGTTTTCCCCACCCTTTGTGCTGAGTATGTCCATGCTAATCTTGCCCTCGCTTCATGAACCCATCTGTGTAAATGATGATGTCTGTGCTTAAATGCAGATCAATGTGTGTGTGTGCGTGCATTTTTTTACTGGGGGAAAAGGGTCCAATGCTAGCACTATGATACAAGAGGGGCTAAAGAAACAACCAAGGCCAAGTGGATGAGTGTAATAACTGGACAGATCACAGGGAGTTCAGAAAAGTCTGTTCCCTCAGCTGACACAATAAACGCAAAGTTGCTTGGCAGTAAACAAGTTACACCTGCTTGTGGGGCTACAATGTTGGCATCACATTATGGAGATATATCTCTGCGTCAAACAATGATCAGCAGTACACGAGACAGATGGCTAGGGACAGACAACTTTAGGAAGAAACATCTTACATTATTAAGCTCCCCCATATATCCAGGGTGTCCCATCAGCTTCCACACACATGACAAATTAACGTATCACCAAAGCTATTATAAGCAAAACTCCAACATTGCTTATACACTTTCTTTAGCAGTGGAGGACACACATTGAAATGTGTTTTTCATATGTATAACAACTTACTGGACACCTTTAAGACACAGAGTAATCTTACATTATATTGTTTCTTTTTTTCTTTTCTCTAGATCCTGTTGTCTTTCAGCATCAAGTTCTGAAAAGAAATCTGGTGCAAGCATTTGAGTGTGTGCTACACGCGACAGGAAACCTAAAAATACTTGGGGGTCACCTATGGAAAGAGAAGGCCAATGTGGGATGGGGGGGAGGGGGGGTGGGTGATGATATCTGCAGCAATGGCCTTGGAGTGCTGAGGAGGAGATGGTGGAGGGGGAGAAGGAGGAGGAAGAAGAAGCTACCCCATATAAACTTACCAAGTAATGCCTGAAACAGTCGACTTTTGAAAATTCTGATTACACGTTCTATGGCTGTCTTCAGTGGACGATCCTGGGGTTTATTCAGCCTGGTGAGGTAGTCCTCAAGAAGTTCAAGGGCTCTATGTGCATCTGGATATGAGGGAGAGATAGCAACTGAATTTTAGGTTCCATTTGACAACTTGACATTACTACTTATATACACAGGTAACATCTTCATGAAAGCATAATATAAGATGATTAAATTGCTATTACATTAACTTGAGAATATATATATATATATATATATATATATATATATATATATATATATATATATATATATATATATATATATATATATATATATATATATATATATATATATATATATATATATATATATATATATATATATATATATATAGTCATATTATATGAAGGATTACTCTCAGACTGCGTGTGGTTTCCGGGGCCCTATTGTGGGGAAAACAAGAATAGACCCACTGCCTCCCCAACAAGTATGTTCTAGGGCTAAACTAACTGAGGTGTTTCCTTCAAAGTCAGTTTGCATCTGCCTCAACAGCAAGGTAAAAACCAAATGCACACAAAAAAGACAGTAAAATGAATATACATGCAAAACTCAGGTGGTAGCACAAAGCCAAAGACCAAACAGAGGAACAACCAGGACGTTCTGCCATAGCTTACAGCCGGTGAACAAAGAAGATGACGAAGAAGAAGATGTGAGGGAGTACAAATGAGTTCAAAAAAGTGTTTAAAAATGAGAGGATTTTCTTCACTCTCTGGAGGGTGTCTGGATGACTCCATGGTCCATCGATCTTTCAGGAGAGAAAAAACCTGCCCCCCCCCTTTCCCATAAGCATGTCTTACAAGGTAACAAATTATGAGTTTGCTGAAATTGAGTGTGTTGTATCAAAAAGTGCAGATGTTTATGTTTGTTTATGTTGTTTGCGTTCACCGGCTTTAAACTCCTGTGGAAAGACCTGGTTGTTCATGTGCATCTGTTTTACAGATCTTGACTTATTTGTATGCAGATTGCTGGTTCCTTGCCTCTCAGGCAGATGCACTCGACTTTAAAGGAAGCCCCCAGTTAGTCGACTCTTACAACATGTTTTTGGGAAGGCAGTGGGTCTATTCTTATTTTCCCTATAATGGGGCTCCGGAACCCACACGGGGGTGTTTGTTTATGTTTATTTGTGGGATCAACATCATGGCACATGGGTGTAACCTATAAGTGATCCGTTCTACTTCAAGCCAAGACTGAGTCTGAAGAATCTCAGCATACTGCACGAACTCAATTGCACCAGCGAAAATCCTAAAACACTTTGGGTAGATTTTTAACTCCCAATTTTGCCCGGGCAGTGCCGTTAGGCTACTTTTTTTTCTATTTCTAAATGCCAAGGTATTTTTTGCATGTGCAAGAAAACAGACGGGTGTCCGGTCTTACTACCCAGAGACCAGGGAAAATTATTAGAAGTCCACCTAAAAAAAATCCCAGTCTTCACTGGGGTTTGAACCTGCGACCTCCAACACCCAAGGCGGATGCCATACCACGAGACCACTAAAACCCCCTAGAAAAAAGTGCAGATATCACACCCTAGCTGTAAACCTCAACCCTACCAAAAGCAGAAGAAGAAACCCACAAACTTTAGTATGCAGGGTGAATGGTCTAGCCTCTCTGCCATGGAGACAACTCACAAGAAGATTTTAAAAATTACCAATCAATTACTTTCCACAAACAGAAGACATTAATCAAATCTATAAGGAAAATCAAGCAATCAACAAAACATAAATATTACCATCTTGATCTCGCAAAAGAAATAATTCGGGTCCAAATCTTCTTCTTCTTCTTTTTCTTAGCGTTCACAGACTTTAAACTATGGTGGAAATTTCTGGTTGTTCATCCACTTCTGGTAGTTTTTTCCCAGAACTTAAGTTTTGGGTGCAAATCCCTTTTACAGATCAAAATATCTGTATGCAGACAATGGGTTCCTCGGCCCTTAGGCAGATCCACTCGACCTTCAACTAAAGTATTCTTAACTCTCCTCCTTTCTTTCTTCCATGCCTTTAGGAGTATAGGGCTAGACCTATATTTTTACAGACCAATCGGCACAAGATGGGTGATGTGATCAGCATTATGCCAGCCGCCTTTACTTCCTGGGACTGCATCCAGTTCCCATTCAAGGCTGGGTCGACCTGGGAGTAACTAGTAAACTTTCATGAAATGCTTGGGGGGGGGGGGGGGGGGGGGGGGGGAGAGAGAACAGTGAGTCGATTCTTTTTTTTTCTTCCCCACAATAGTGGTCCAGATTCTATTCACAGCAGCATGGGGAGGAGGGGGGAGAACTAGAAATGCTCCATAGCAGGTACTACCTGGCCTTGCTACACTACTGCCCACAAGGGGTTTGTGACTATTCAACTAAATATATCAGAATAAGTACAAGGTAAAAGAATTCTGAAAGTATTTAATAACTTCCTGGGGAGTATAGTGTTAGACCTTTATGTTTCACAGCACAGAAGGTGAGGTTGCCTGTCCCCTCATTCATCCTCTTTCCACCTAGAGACAACTCCAAAAGTAAAAATGTAAACATGGCTGTAAATCTGTGATTTATAACCCACTTCACTGCCATGGGTCAGTGATTTACAAATAGGCAAGAAAATCTACTACCACCATATAAATGTTTACTGTTGTGTTTTGAGTGTGTCTGTGTGTGTGGGGAGAAACAGGGGGTTTTTAATAGGCCTAATGATTATGGTAAATAGGGAAGCAAAATATTAGTATTGCAGAAATAAAATGTTACTTGTAATATTATTACATCAAAGGATACCAAAACTATGGAGCAGATTCTGGGAGATGATAACACAACCAACACCACCATGTATCATTTGCATTTTTTTTTAAATAACGTGACTCTTAGCTAATAAATAGTTTTTTTTTTTTTTAATAGGAAACAAAAAGACAATAAATAAAAACTGTCTGGTACCACAGACAAAATGAACAGGTAAAGTAGTAATTAAATTAAATGTTATCACTCCATTATATAATTTAAACATTAAGTAATAGTATGCGTTTAAATTACTAAATTCTCGTCAAGGAACGACTCTCCATCATACTCTTGTCTACTCAACGTCTTAACATCAACTAGACGAAATCTAAGGTCTATGGAAGGATATTAAAATATTATTCAGATGGCATACTGAATGACACTAATTAATATATATATATATATTATTTAGGATCAATACCTCACTCATTCCAACAAAAATGTTTAAATGCCATGGGATTAAATGGCACTTTTTACTTTATAATTCATCGCATGACTGTTGAACAGCATACAGTGTTTTACGGTTATAACACAGTAAGGCGTTGCGATTAACATAACATAATAAATTTAACAAACATACCTTCTTTTCGAACCGGCATACTGAATCACATCAACAATCGACGTATATAGAAAAATCCCTATTATTATTGATATTGTATTAGTCCAATTGTGAGTTCGATCAGATCTATGAAGCAATGCCCACTTACTCCTTGCGATTCTTCCCCGAACAGATAATTATAAGAATCCTACTGCAAATGTAAGAATAATGCAAACACTAAGGTTTGGAAAATCGTAAACTACGCGCCGGATGCTCAGCGAGAAAACACAGCGATCAACAACATTATTGTCGTCTGGCTAAAAACATGGCGTCAAGCTAAACAATTAGTCACGTGACAGGGGACCGTCAATTGTTAAGTCCGTGAAGACGTTTGGTTCTGATGAATTATCTCAATTGACTATTATTGTTTGACATGGCACACGATCATAGGTAGGTAAACTTACGTTTAAGTACAGAGATGAGAGGGCTTTTACTGTACCAAGAGGAAAGACAAGGAAAGAAACAGTTTACTGCTACATAAACTTACAAAATCGTTTGTTTAGAAAGGATCACGCTCACTGATCCATTATCATACTGCTGATCAGGCTGAATGGAATCTTAGCACAGCGCTCGAAAACCTCAAGATGGGCGAAGACGATATACCCGTGTACTAGAATAATAAGAGCAAAAACAAAATGTTTGTAAATTCGCACACTCTTTACAAAACGTCCCCAATTTCCAGCCCTGTCCGCCAAGGCATCTTCTTCTCTCCTTCTTCAATCGTCCCACTGGTACCAGGTGGCAACCCAGTGTCGTGGTTTTCTGTATTTGTCTTGCGCTGCTCTTTGGCTTGAGTGATGCATTTGTTTATATTTTGCAGGTTTTATCTACACCATTTATCCGCATCTTTCTCTGTCTTCGCCTTCCTCCCACGGGATTCTGCTGTAAAAAAAAAAGTCTCATATACAGTTTGGCACTGCTGTATTCTCACTAGATGGCTGAACCATTTCATTTTTTGTCTGTCAATATAATCCAGGCATGGTCTTATTCAGAATTTTTCTCTAATGCTGGTATCGTAACACTGTCTCTTCTTGTGTGTGTGTGTGTGTGTGTGTGTGTGTGTGTGTGTTTTTTATGTTCACTTTTCTCTTTAAATCATGTGCCACCAGTGACATCAATTGCTTTCTACTTGACCCATTCATGATATTATTTTTTTAAGTGTTGTTAGTGACCTTGCGGAGACAGTGTATTTCACATGCAGTTATTTTATGTTCTAGTACCTTAATAGGAGTCCATGTTTGGCACTGGTAACACAAAGTAGGAATAAAGATGCTAATAATCTTTTGCTGTTTTGCTGGAAGGGAGACATTTGAGTGCTTAAGCAGTGAAGCTAACTGGTAGGTGACAGCATGTGCCTTATGTACTCCGGTTTCTAAAAAAACACATGGAGAAGAGAGCTGGAGAACCCTTTCAGTTCCAAGAAGAAAAAAACTGTACACACGAGGAAAACGAAGGTCGTAGACCACGAGGCCGACCAAGAAGATGATGGAGAGATAACATCCAGACAGACCTGCAAACACTTGGTGTCACCAACTGGAAAGAGAGGGCCAACTAGAGAGATAAATGGAGGCGGTTGATATCTGCAGCAATAAACCTCAAGGGCTAGGAATGCTGAAGAAGACCATCCGGAGAGATGAATAGAGGCGGTTGATATCTGCATCAATAAACCTCAAGGGCTCGGAATGCTGAAGAAGACCAACCAGAGAGATGAATAGAGGCGGTTGATATCTGCATCAATAAACCTCAAGGGCTCGGAATGCTGAAGAAGACCAACCAGAGAGATAAATAGAGGCGGTTGATATCTGCAGCAATAAACCTCAAGGGCTCAGAATGCTGAAGAAGACCAACCAGAGAGATAAATAGAGGCGGTTGATATCTGCAGCAATAAACCTCAAGGGCTCAGAATGCTGAAGAAGACCAACCAAAGAGATGAATAGAGGCGGTTGATATCTGCAGCAATAAACCTCAAGGGCTCAGACTGCTGAAGAGGGCCAACCAGAGAGATAAATGGAGGCGGTTGATATCTGCAGCAATAAACTTCAAGGGCTCGGAATGCCGAAGAAGACCAACCAGAGAGATAAATGGAGGCGGTTGATATCTGCAGCAATAAACCTCAAGGGCTCAGAATGCTGAAGAAGGCCAACCAGAGAGATGAATAGAGGCGGTTGATATCTGCAGCAATAAACCTCAAGGGCTCGGAATACTGAAGAAGAAGAAGATTTCAATTCCAAGAGCTCCCATTTTCTTTCTCAAAGACTGAGATGGGAGTCAGTGACGCACAACCAGAAGTTGATACGGGAAAGAAACGTGATCTTAAAATGTTTACTTTAACTTGCTTGCAGGTGCTACGCCATAGGTTCTTAATGCTGTTTTTCCTCTGAACTTTTGAAGCAATTCTTTTTCTGACTTTGGTTTTTGAGTAGTTTCCTAATTTGAGAATTTTATCTGCGCTTTGACCCAATTGAAACGCCCTTTTGACTTCAAAATGTTGATGCGTTTTTAATGAGCACGCGTGCACACAAAACTGCATAGTTAGTTATCCATGCTAATATGAGAAGGTTAAATATTCGATCCCCTATCCTAGTATTCTCAAGAAAGATTTGCTAATAAACAGCATCCTGTCTTAGAAGCTGAAATATTTTAGTCACCTCAAGCGTCACGACGTAGTGGAAAAATAATAGCAGAAGGCATGGTACCAGGAAGAAGAGGCAGGGGCCGCTAAAAATAAGATGGGCACATGATGATGATGATAAATATTTTAAAAGATGAATATTAAAAAGGAAGGAATATTAAAAAGGACAAATATCAAAGAAGAAGAATAATAAATAGGACGAATTTTTAAAAGGACGAATATTAGAAAGACGAATATTAAAAAAGAAAAATATTTTTAAAAGACGGATTTTTAAAAAGCACGAATCTTAAAAAAAGACGAACATAAAAAGGACGAATATTAGAAAAGACGAAAGGACGAATATTAAAAGGACGAATATTAAAAAGGCGAATATTTAAAAAGACGAAAATCTAAAAGGACGAATATGAGAAAGGACGAATATTAAAAAAGCACGAATATTAGAAAAGACGAATATTAAAAAGGATAAATATTAAATTTGGAGAATTTTTAAAAAGATGAATATTAACAAGAACGAATATTTAAAAAATGAATATTAAAAAAAGACTAATATTCAAAAAGACGAAAATTAAAAAGAGCGAATTTTTAAAAAGACGAATATGAAAAAAGAACGACTATTTAAAAGCACGAATATTAAAAAGGATGAATATTGAAAACTACACATTTAAAAATATCTAATTTCGTCCTTTTTAGGACGAAATTTTTTGTCATTTGAAGCCCTACTCTGGCTTTTGCCGGGGGCCGCAATATAGGCAGGCATATGGCCAGATGTCTGAACGCGGTTTCTGGGACCTCTCCACGGCGATCCTCATCCGCATGGTGGCACTTTGTGTCATCGGGTGTTTATCGCTTGTGTGATGTCCTGGTAGGGTAGAAATTCAGTCAGTCAAAACTACACATATTAGTTGTCGTTCTTTACTTACTGTGTTCATCTATTTGTTTTAAGGGCGGATGATTGTAAGTCGCATAGGTTGTAAGTCGATGAGGAGGTGTACATATATACGCGCACGCACATACACACAATCACGGAAACACGCACACACACACACACAGCCGCACACGCACGCAAACACACCCACACACATACGTAAAGATAACTGTTCACAACGAAGGGAAAACTGTTATCTGTTCTATAAAAAGCCCGTTCTGTGTGATACATGCAAATATTGATCGGGTATTTTTGGGCGTCGCCTAGTGATACTGATAATACGATATGCTCTATTGATCAAGTCTGTGATTTCCTCCAGTCATTTTGCTTCATAAACTCACAATTATGTACGGGCTGTGATATTTTTGGATATCAGAATTTAGGCAATGGTATTCAATTTTCAAACATGCACAATTAGCTACACAGAAGGTTTCTCCATAACAAACACTTTCCCGCACGCACTCGTGATAGCTAGGGAGGTAGGTAGATAAACTGGGAGACAGACAAATACAAGCAGCTAGACACTCGGGCAGGCAGTAAAATAGTGAAGCAGAAAGAGTCAGACAGACAGACAATCAGACAGACAGACAGACAATCAGACAGACAGACAGACGGATAGGCACACGACTAGACAGCCGGACGGCCAGTCAGACAGACGGACGGACGGACTGATGAACAGACAGACGGACGGATATATGGATGACAGACAGACAGACAGACAGACAGACAGACAGACAGACAGACAGACAGACAGACAGACAGACAGACAGACAGACAGACAGACAGACAGACAGACAGACGGACGGACGGACGGACGGACGGACGGACGGACAGACAGATAGATAGATAGAAAGATAGATAGATAGATAGATAGATAGATAGATAGATAGATAGATAGATAGATAGATAGATAGATAGATAGATAGATAGATAGATAGATAGATAGATAGATAGATAGATAGATAGATAGATAGATAGATAGATAGATAGATAGATAGATAGATAGATAGATAGATAGATAGATAGATAGATAGATAGATAGATAGATAGATAGATAGATAGATAGATAGATAGATAGATAGATAGATAGATAGATAGATAGATAGATAGATAGATAGATAGATAGATAGATAGATAGATAGATAGATAGATAGATAGATAGATAGATAGATAGATAGATAGATAGATAGATAGATAGATAGATAGATAGATAGATAGATAGATAGATAGATAGATAGATAGATAGATAGATAGATAGATAGATAGATAGATAGATAGATAGATAGATAGATAGACAGATAGACAGATAGATAGATAGATAGATAGATAGACAGATAGACAGATAGATAGATAGATAGATAGACAGATAGATAGATAGATAGACAGATAGACAGATAGACAGATAGACAGATAGACAGATAGACAGTTAGACAGATAGCGATAG